GAATAAATATGATAATTGTACAAAAAAAAAAAAAAAGAAAATAATTTCAAGTCAAATCTGTCCTGGATCCAGTGACACTTTGAATCCACTTTCCTCTGGTCTTTCACTTTTTTCTTTTTTTTCTTTACTAAGGTTTGCAATATTCTGCTCGGCTGCGTTATCAAATAAGAAAATAGACACGTTTGTCATTCATTTATACGGCCCGAGGCTAAACTTTCGTTTGTTCTATATACCAGAGGCGTGGTGACTTTCCATTTAATGAGACGAAGACCCTCGTATTGACCTCAAAAAAAGAAAAAGAAAAAAATGGTTGGAGTGACCATTGAATATTTTCGTTAGACATTTTACAGATACAAAACATTTTGCATTTTTGGAGACTTAAATGATTCTTCGTAAAATACATAAATGAAAGTTTGCGCACTCTATCGTGTATCGTAAAGATCTTCTGTTTCTATTGTTTTGTTATTGTTTTACTCTGATGGAAATTTTATGCTTTAGTTATCGGTGGTTTCAGTGTTAATTACGCGACGAAAAGAAAAAAAACTTCTGAATTTTTTGCGACTAGTTTTCTTCTTATTCAATACAGTTTCATCACGATGTTGCGTGAAAAAAATTAAATGGTAATCATGGATGACGAAACATTTGCAATAATTAAGTACAGTACTCTGTATCCTATAACCTCGATAGACGGAAAGTCGTGTCAACCACGCAGCTATAATTCATACTCGAAGGGCATTGGGTAGTAACATGAATAATGAGTTGTACGCCAGATAGATTATCCTTTCTCTTTCTGTTCCACTGACTTAAGAATGTATTTTGTTCTTTCTTTTTTTAAAGAAGACAATGGTCATTGCAGAAATTCGCCCATAAAATTCAACATTATAGTTATGATTAGTAGGTTTCAGTAGGCGACTCGTTAGCATAGAAAGCAGCATGGTAAAACGAAGAAGAAGAATACGATCATAAAGCGCAGTTTTCTCCGCGTTAACCGCAATCGACGCGATGATAAGATACGATTACACCAAGACGCATGATTTTCACCACTTATAGCGATCCGCTTCTGCAGCGTTCAACAGCTAGATCAACAGTAAGTTTCCAGCTTGCGAGAGAAATCAACCACGATGCCAGTGCCTTGTAAAATGTTTGCCAACAATATTGGTTTTTCCCTGAGAAATTGTGTCGTTGATGTACGAAAGTACGAAATTTAATTTCGTTAAATTATTCGTTGGACGAACGAAGGAAATAGTATACGTTTACCAATTCTCTGGAAAAGAAAAATTGACACTCGAACACACTTGGAACACGTCCCATTTCCCATAAAAAGAAATGGAGAGTCCGTGAAGGAGGAGGAACGAAAATGGAGGTCAGTGGAAGTACACTCTGTACCCAGTGACCCACTGATACATTTTCATACGGCTTTGTGAGTGGGAAACGGCACACAAACGCGCGTCAATTTTATTTCACGAAGAAGAAGAAGAAGAAGAAGAAGAAGACGAAGGAACAGAAATTATTTCTGTTCCTTGCTGCAGAACAGAAATTATTTCTTATTTGAATTTTCGGTGTTGCAAGTTTAATTTACGTAAGAGCGATTAGCAGAGATGTCGTGTTATACGACCAAACTGTTGCTATTATGGAAGAAGGAAGACGCGAGATGTTTGTAATTTCTGGAATTTCTACTCAAACTTGCTCTCGTCTTCTTTCTCTAGCGTAGCATTCTCGCGAAAACATTCTCCCAGAGAGAAAGAGCAGTTGTTCGACAAGATACCACGAGGCGCGATCCTCTCACGAACGTGTTTGTCAATCGCGTAACATCGATCAGTTATGTAGGGATAATTCGGGTCGGAGTTTGTAATTTTTAAATTGATAAAACGATAAAAGGGAAATGAGGGCAGTTGGTAAACGTGAGCGCAGGGGAATCGAGAAATGTTTAACTGTCACTGTCAGATTTGATTCACGTTTGAATTGAAAAATCGAGATCACTTTCAGAAACACGTAGAAACACGGTGAACGCAGCGTGGAGCCGAGGGATAACTTGATAAATAAAACGAGATAACGTTGAACCGAAAGCCAAAGTGAAAGTTATTTTCCATGACAGGCAGCAACGTATCGATACAGGCAGCAATTTCATTCCGATCGGAGATTAACCATGCCGATTCTTGCATAAATTTCCATAGAGCGTTTTTATTTATTTAAACAGGAAAATATTTCTAAGCTCGTTGTTCCACGGTGCATGGAAGCGCGCGCGCGTCTACGCAGATAAAATCGAATAAAACCGATCGCGTACGCGGAATTATATTCGCAAAAGCGATCGAAATAGAACGAAAACACGGTTGCAACGATTTGACAAAATTGTTGGCAATTTCTTTCGGCAAATGCGGAATTACGCCGCATTGTCCGAGTTATCGTTGTGTTTAACTTCAATACAACGCTGTTGCACGTCAGAAGGGAAAATATTCACCTGCCTGTAAACATTTACCTACTAGATTTTCTGACCAATTGAGAGCGATCCAATTCAGGTCCCCCCTAAACTGAAATGTCAGTTGAAAGACCAGAAAGATATGGCTGACCGAGAAAATACATTTACCCGATGATTATATGCCTACCAGTTTGAAGCAAAAGGCCAGTTGTATCGAATATTATTCGCTGGAAAATTGCAGCACGAAGATAATTTATATACGATGTTTTAATTACTATACGTGTGACTTGTATATTGCTACATATACATTATACAGAATATATGTAGAGAATATACGTAGAATATACGTAATACCATATGTTACATTTAATTGAAAGGGAAAAGAGATTTTTGCTTTTCATAAATTTCCGAAACAACGAGTTTGCAGTTATCCAAAAAGTGTACTTTCGAAATTTCATGCTGAAATAGTAGTAGAAATTTTATTACACTCGAGGGATCAGTGTCAAAGAGTGAACTTCGAATTTCCACCTCCTACCTGATGCGATATCGGTAAGCTTGCCTGCTCGGGCTTCCAATAATCCGGCCTGTCATTATCTACACTCTTGTGGTTGTCTCTAACTGACGTTGGCCAGAGTGAGAGAAAAAGAGAGAGAGAGAGAGAGAGATGAGTGGGGACTTAAGACCGAAGCACTTGACACGAGGAAAGGAAAGGAACGAGGCAAGAGAGCAAAGATATTGGAGGTGGCGTCAAGACCAACTTGTCCCGGGCTCCAAGGTAATATAAAGGCGTACATCGACTTCACCTGGTTCAACTTACCTGGAACATCGAACAGAGCTGCGTTGTCCAGCCACTGCCACACGAACGTCCGCCACTGCCACACCATCACTTTCCACCATCATGTGAGTCCCTTTAAATTGCTCGGCTTTTTGAACTGCTTCTCTCGGGTTCGCATTCATTTGCAAATTGAATTCATCGAAGAATTTGTGACAACGAATATATGTTTCTCGATATATATATTCGCGCGTTGAACAATTCTGCGTCTGCGATCGTAGAAATCGCTTCTCCTCTTTGACATTTCAGTTACTTTTCTGTCGTAGACGTGCTGAAATTTTTGTAATTTCTAGATTTCAACATTCTGTATGTTTTAATAACAAGATATTCGCCTTTGCTCCACCAACTTTTACTTTTGAGAACGATATAACAAGTACACGTTCAAAAAAATATTTTAGTTGTTCAAATTCTTAATCCGGCATTGTGTTCTAAATGATGAACGTAAAGGTGTTGGAATGATCTCGGTCGCTCGTAAAAGATTGCTTCCATTCAAAGTTGCAACGCAGCTATGACGATAATAAATCGCTGAATGTGTACTGTTTGCGCTGAAAATAAGAATAATTTGCATGTCGTTATTCGTCTTTACGCTTCATATCGCTCATGAATAATAATCAACGAACGAATGTCAACGTTTTTTCAACTACGTTCAGTACTGAACCCTGACGAAAAAAAAAGAAGAAAAGAAAAAGAAAAAACCATCCATGCGTGTCGAGGCGCATTATCTCGTTAATTTTATATTCCGCGATAAATGGATCACGTTGCATATCGTGTTGCGATGTATGCAGACTCGTTGCATAAGATGAGCAACACTGCTAGCCGTGAGACGCTAGCCTACAAAAAAATTTAACATTTAAATATTTCTACAAAAAGAATCTTTGCTTGAGAAATCGTGTAGTATCAAGTTGTCGTCAGAGAATCAAAACAAAGAGATCTGCTCTCTGGCAAAGGAATCTTTTACAAAAGATTTGCACTTTATCGTTTGCACAAGATCTCCGCATCTGCACGATCTTTACATAACGATCGAAGAAATCATAGTTTCTGCGAACAACGATACAATAAAAATATCCGCAACGCTTCTCCCTCGACGATAGTATCTGCTATATTTTTACAAAGAACGTGTTTGCCAACACGCGAAAAATCAATTTACCTGCGCCCGTCTCTTGTCTGTCAAATTGTGCGAATCGATTTCGCCTGTTTCGCTCGTGATCTGTACGCATGAATAGATATTTAACGATCGTTAGGTGAATCGAACGGGTTAGCGTAATCATTGATACGTATCGCAGAGTCACGAATTGTCTCGTTTATTGTTATTCCGATAGAATCGCGTCGCACACGTGAGATTCTTGCCTTGAAGCCCGCGAAAGTGAAAGGACTTCTGATTTTTATCTGGCGCAAGTAAATGGGATCCAGGGGTTAAAAGTGCACAACGCCTAGTTGTGCTCGTTCCAAGACACGCGGCATACTTTTACACTCTCTGTATCTCTGGGCGTTGTTAACGCCGCCGAGCTAATTAAGAAATCTTCCAGCAGCAATGAATTCTAATTATCATAGCTTGGATAACGAGTCGTTTTTTATTCGCGAAGGAAACATTATTCTCGAAGAGTTGTCTCTAATTGAAACGTCCTTGTATATATAAAAACAGTTTTACGATCTTCATGATCTAACGAGATTGCTAATTGATCTCCAACTACAGATGAATTGCAATTTATCGAAATCTATCGATAAGTATTTTTTGGGAGGGGGAAAGATTTAACAAATAAAGCTGCCAAGTATTGGATTTGAAAGTTAGACGCAACGTGCAACGCGACTTTCTCCCGAAAACAAAAGTAGAAAGTTCGATTGGCGTGGTAGATCGCGCTTAACGGAACGAACGCTTCTGGCTTTTGTCGCGCGATTAACAGAGCGGGACCACAGAGGCTGCGGTAAATTTTCCGCTCGACTTGACAAACCATCACCATACAAACAAGAATATCATAACGTTCATCGTTGTCCCTGAATAAATAGTCGGGCCTGATCCAACGTTTCTTGTGCATGTTGCAATACCCAGTCACCTCTTTATTTTCTTTTTCTTTTTCTTTTTTTTTTCAAATGTGTTGGAATACAACGACTTAACCATCCAGCAGTGTAAGCCCATTGCAAATGGCTTTGCGAAGGGCAAAGGTTGACATCTGTCTTTTCTGTCTTCTTCCCACTATTTTTCTTTAGTTACGGACAGGGCCACGCCGAACAGAAAGTTTAGTTCTTTGCCAGTCCTTGCCGCGTGGCTACCTCATTGTATCGCACACACTATTTAATTATTAGCTATTTCTTTAAATAAAGACATTCGTTTCTTTTCCACACAGAAGTTTGTGTTATATTTTCACTACATTTCCCTACAAAATGAAATAAACGAATACAAGTTCCCATGATTTCACTGAGAATAATAACTGTGTGCAATGCTAAGAAAGTAACGATTTCACCGAGGAGATAACCGAAACCGGTACGCCCGAAAACGAAAGCACTCGCAGATAGGGAACGAGTGAAGTGAAAACGAGAAGAGAGAAATAAAAATGGAGAAGGCGAAAAAGGCGAAGCGGACGGAGAAGTAGCCGGGAGCAGTGAAAGTCGAACTTCGCCGAGAATGGTCAGGTCGGTGATTGAACGCGAACCGAACTGAAAAAAGAGAGAAAAAAAAAAAAAAAATAAACGAGACGAAATTACAAAAATATCTCTCCGACGACGCCTGCTTGGATTATGTAACGAACGAGTCGCCGATTTTTGTTTTTTCTACTCTGATGGCGCGTTGGCGCGTGACTCCCATAATCACTTCTCTGTCCCCCTTTCGTTCAACTTGGAAACTCGAATAAAATATTCTGAACGTTTTGTTAATTAAAACGGTTGCTAACTTCAGTTCATTCTTTTTTTTTAAGAATTTTTCCTGTATTTCTTCTGCAAAGAAGAATCTTTCTATTTCCTTGTACTTTGTACTGTATTTTAATAAAGTTGGACTCATGTTTGTCGGAAATAGGACGTGAGTCACGTACAATTACTTCCAATTACATCGAATGCATGGAAACGTGATAAAGAATTGTCATTAGTCGGCGAGTTGCTTGTCTCTAAGGAGTGAAATATAATAAAATGTAACTGGGTGACGATGTAATTCGTGCGAATGGTTGTTACAATTTTCGTGTAACAAAACTTTGTTTGCAGGGTGGTGTGGTTGGTGATGTTCTTAGCAGCGTCCATCTTGGCGGAGGCAGCCATACCGGATCCACCAACTTCCGGTATCACAACTGTCGGATCATTGAAACTAGCAACAGCCGCTGACTGTGCTGGCGTTGTTGCTTTCTCGGCTACTCAGGCCTCTGTCGACGTGAGTCTGATTTTCTAAATGTCGATGCCAAGTCTTGAAGAAAATCTCAAGTTCATCCACACTCTTTTAAGGTGAAATTTCTCATCATTTAAATATTTGTTTCACCCGTTAGCACGCCAAAGCGGTATTCGCCGAGACGCTGGTCGACAAGGGCGTGGGTTACGTCGCCCAAACAGGAATCTTCATCACCCATTGTCCAGGCCTGTATCAGTTCAGTTTCGCCGGATATGGAAGCAGCGATCTCCGGCTCACCCTGAAAAGGAAATTGAACAATTCCGATAGCTGGAGACCCGTGGTCGGCGTCGGTGCAGGAGGTGGTAGTAACTTGATCTTATTGGACGTGGAAGTTGGAGATCAGCTCGCTGTTTTCGTCGACGCCGGGAAAATATCGGGCGGGGCCACGTTCTCCGGATATCGAATTGCCAAAAAGTAATCGAACTGCGGAGGCGAGGATCGTTCTCACGAGGAAATCAAAATTGGAAAAACTTTGGAAACCATTTTCGAACTTCAATTCATACGAAACTGGGCCAGGTTTTGGGCAGTCAACGACGACGTGGGACCATTTATTTGAAAAATGCTGCTTCGACAGTTAAATGTCAGACAGACAAATCGAAATTCTCTGAAATTGATCGTTAATATCATTGGAAAAATTTGAAATCGATCCGTTCACCGAGTATGAAATTGAGACTATTTGACTTGAATTGGAACCAAACCAAAGGTTTGAATTCGCTGGTCCTTTGGGATGAATTTAAATTTTGAATTTGGATTTGACGATGTTTCCGAATTGAGAAACGTTCGAGCAGAGCGGTTTTAATCTTTTCCACGAACTTGACGCTCTGTGATAGCTCTTCCTCTACGTTTCTACTTTTCGAAGCCTTGCAATTTTATTGATCTCATACTTCAAACATAAGATCGCATCGGCACGGATCACTGAAATTGCGAGACTTGTCTGCTCAATTGGTACACTATCTTCGACATTCTTCTCTTCTCTGTTTTCTTCTTTACTCTTTCTTCGCCTTCCCTTTATTTTTTCTTCACTTTGTATATTATTTTTATTCTATCTCTTGGTGCGAATTTCCTTTCAAATTTTACCCTTTATTTCTCACTTTGATCTTCTGAAATTTCTTCTTCTGTAGAAGTGATCTTTTAATACTGATGCCACAATCTGGTACTCTGTTACTTTCGTTTCATTTTCCTCTTTTTTTTTATTCTGTCTTTGTCTGTCTTTTCTCTAGTACTCTATTCCTCTAAATTCTAAATCTCTTTCTCTCTTTTCCAAGCTATTTTATCTTCGTCTCATTTTTTCGATATACCCGTCAGTATTACCCGTCAAAAATTTGTTGAACTTTCCATGAATTATTTTCTGTTACCTACTTTTCGTCTCTTTCCTCTGTCTCAGGCCTACCTTGCCTCGCATACCTCCTCTCATATATATATATTTCTCTTTTATTTTCTCTCACGATGCTACAAACTTATGAATACCAGGTTACTACAGCTAGCCTTTGCTCTCTTATTCTTTTAATGGCAGACTCTCTCTTCAAATTTCATATCTATCTTTTGCTCCCTTACTCTGCTATCTTCACTGTCTGTATTTCAGTTAGTGATTTTATCTTACTTTTTCTTTTCTTTTATTTTTATTTTTTTTTTTTTTTTTTTTTTGTAAACTCGAGAATACTGAAGTACCTGAAATTTAATACATTGTAGCACTTTACCATAA